TTACTCACTTGTCAGCGCAACAAATTACAAAACAAGCCAAAAATTAGCCAGTCTCCAATGTAATTAAGTGGGGACCCACAACTGTCGACCCAAAAGGCCCCAAGTTCAACATTGCGAATTTCACGTGAAATTCTCTGCCCAACTTCTGTTGAAATTTTCGGCATACGCAACAACAGCCGCAGAACAGCAGAGCGACAATCACATACGCATTCACATACACTCATTCACATTCACATTCGTATCTGTATCTTGTATCTGGTGGCGCCGCCGCTGGGGGTCCTGTCCCAGTCCCTGTCTCAGTTCCTGTCTCAGTCACTTTTCCTGCTTCCCCTGTTCCCATCCCTGTCGCTTGTCTGCGCGCTTGCGCATTCAATTTAATTTTTATTTTTATTTCGCTGACAATTTGCAGCCGCAGCAAAAATTTTGTGCGTTTTTTAACGACTTTCGGCAAGCAAAAAATAAATACAAAAAACCCCGCACAACAACTGCAGAAGAGCCAAAAATGCCGCTAAAGAATTGACCAACGCATGTTGCACTTTTTTTTTTCTTGTTTTGACTCTTTTGTTGTTGTTGTTGTTCATTTGATTATCGCCACTGTCGCCGTGTAATTTATTATATTGACTTTTGGGGACTCACTTGGCCCTTATTTTTATGGCTTTAACCTTTTGCCAACCGCCGCGTTGCTGACATTATTTAATTTGTCATTTAATTCTCTTGCGCGTTGCCTTCTGTTAAGCGACCAGCAAATTTTGCCCATATGTTGCGAATACATACGTAAACGAATGTGTAATGAATATATGGGGGGTATTCGCAAGTTTATGTTGCTGCTTCTGACTTTTTGGCCTACATATGCTACTTCCTTTTAACTGAAACAAACTGCAAATAATTTTTGCTTTCTTCTTCTTATTTTTTTTTTGTATTTTCTGTTCTGAGAATCACAAAGAAAAGCGGCAGCTGGCAGCCTTTATTTATGTTGAATGAACGTTTATGAACTAAGCCCTCAAGTTGCATTAACTGAGAAAAAATTGCTTGAATATGATTAAAAAAAATATTGCATATAAAAAATGTATAATTTAAATTCATAATTAATATAATCACAAATATTTCTCATATTTTAATTGAATGTTATGTTATTTTTCCGATCAAATTCGCGTCAAAAGAATTATAAAAACTGATTAGCCCGTTTTGCATTTTAATTAAACTTAATATTTTCAGCTCTTTACCTTTGCGAAACCTCAAAATCTGGATGTTATTTACACGATATCATTAAATTCATACGCACAATTCGTATAATTTGGGTCAGCTCAGTAATTTTATAAAACCTCAATAATATAGAACAATTAGAAATGGAAACCATTTCCAGCCCAATGCTCTTAAGATAATTGGTTTCAATGCGGCTCTCTCAACTATGAACAATCATTAAATTGAAAATAATTATACTATATACAAATAATACTAATTAGATCATTAAAACATTCACCTTCCACACAAGTATCATTCACATTGTTAATTAAAACTTATTTATAAAACTACAATAAATAATTCAAGTCAGCTCTGTTAAATAGCTTTATACCGAAAACTCCTTTTAATTAATTGCATTTAATCAAATTTTGAGCTGTGTCGCCAAAACGAACGCCCACCAAAGCCAAGATAAGAAAAAAAATGTGTTCCAATACCAAAATGGCCGCAAAAAATGCGCTAAATCATTTCTTAATTGCTCAATTTAAAAACAAATGCGAGCATTTAATTTAATTGTGTGGACTGTTAATTGAGTCGTATTTGGCCCGTTTTGGTTGCACGAATGCGAATGCCGGCCACGCCCACCGCAAAGGCGAAGGCGCCTCCGATACGTTGTTAGATAAAACTCAGCTGAACAGCATGTTGCTGCAGCCTGTTGTTGTTGCAGTTGCAGTTCATTGCTGCTGTTCATTTTCGGTATTTTTGTGGGGCAATTAAAAATGCAACTGCGCGACAGTTTGGCAAATGCTCAGCTGCAACGCCAATGGCAAAAACAAGCTGCAACAAGCTGCCGCAATAGCAGCAACGTGTGGGCCAATTTTCGTATGATTTACCACCGCGGCAACAGCAGGTGGGTTGGAGCAGGAGCCAAACGATGTTGAAATTAGCATATAGAAAATACATTATACGATAATGCGCCATAAATGTCGCCATATCGAAATTACGTGTCGACTTTTGGGCATTTGAGATACATATGAGCTTGTAGATATAGCAGACGCATGAGGCTGGCGGCCATAAATCTCCATCGGGGGCTGCTGTGTCGCATCATCAATCATCTTGGCTCAGATCGATTATTACAATTGCTGACAGACGAGCGAAGCAAGTTGGCGGCGGTTACATCTGCGGGCAGCCATTTGTATCTGATGGATGTATCTCGAATACCGCCTGCTGCTGCCGCTGATGCTGCTGCTTCTGCTGTTGTTGTTGTTGGTGTTGCTGCTGTTGAACTGCAACTGCAGCATGCAAGCCCAGTTTGCATTTCCATGGAAACTTGTGCATTTGCACAGCTGCAACAGTTTTGCCTCTCGGCGGTTGTTGTTGTTGTTGTTGTTTTCGTGTCAAGTCCTAAAAGTTCCAAGAAAACCAAAAGTTTTGCCATGTTCTATGCCAAAAGTGACGAGCCAGTTACAAGCTGCCCATTGTCCGTTGTCCAGCACGAAGTTATTTTAATGAGTTGCCAATTAGACTGGCCCATACTGAACCTAAATAGATCAGCGACTCGGCAACTGCTAATAAATACCTGACCAGGTCGAATGGCTCCCTCTCCAGCTCTTGCTCTCCCTATCTCTCTTTCTCTCTCGCGCTCTCTTGGGGCCTCGCTCATTGCGTGAAGCGGCGCACACCTGTTGCATGTTGCTTGCCGCTTGGGGTCCCTGGCGAGTGGCATAAATAAAGTAAAGGGCTCCCCTCCCAAAACGGGAGTCTTTTTTAAAAACCAACCCAGGCCACTTGGCCATAACTTGCGTCAGTCACAAGTGGAACTTTACGATGCTGTTGCCAACTTGCTGTCTGACAGCATCCGACAACAAACTCAGCGGGCCTGAGTTTAATTCTCAACTCACTTGAGAGCTATTCAGCTAGATAGCTTGCCAGTTGCATTAATTTAACTACAGCTCATACCAGTATAAAATCGGAAGTTAACTACAGAGGAGCCGCCTGGAGGGAAGAGCAACTAATTTCGTTGCCTTCGACTTTACATAAAGAAAAAGTTTTTCCTGATTGTCGAATATTAGCCCAGCTAACAAGTTTCTTCAGGTGTTATCGTTCCGTTTGTTTCTTTTTATTGGCTTGTATTTTTTTCTTAACAGCTCGCCTCAATTAACGCGCATTTTTTCCAACACTTTTGTGAGGCGCCGCTTATTAGCCCGTTTCCGCTGTACCGCCACGCCCACATCCTCAATTTACAGGAGAGAGAGAGAGAAAGGGGAGTGAAAGAGAGGGCGAGAAAAAATACACGCAAAAATTACATTTCATTCGTTCTCTTTGTTTGTTATTAATTACGCTTTCCAGAGCGTTCGCCTCGTGGCTGCGTTTTCGGCCAATTGAATTATTACGCTCAAGACAATGGAAGGCCGCGCTGGTGGATAGCGGCAGGCGGCAAAGAAGAAGCTGTGGCAGCGAATATAATGGCGTTTGCTCTTATTATAGCACCGACAGCATAAATATTTAAACAACTGACAAGTGGAATAACGAGATAACTGCCAAACGGTAGCCAAGTGAACCACCTGAAAACTTCAAGAAATAAAACCCCACATTTTTCAACGAAATTAGGCTAAATTTATAAAAGTTTTCTGTTCAAGGGCCCATTAAGAAAGTAATTCCCAGCTTAGTACACGAATCAGCATTGAGTTAATTATATACTCTATACATTTTTATACGCAAATACTTTAGCTTATAATGTCTGAAGAAACCAAAAAAATTTAATCTTTAAGCTTATCAAGGCTTTTATATTATAGTGTCAGCTATAATATATAGGTTAAAGGATATAATTGCCTCAATTAATATTCAAAAATTTTGAATCAATCTAATTAAACATAACTTCTTAGGGTAAATATCATTCGACTTATTTCAGAAATTTATTTGTCTACTTGTATTTTTCTGATCCGACTCTTTGTTCATTTCTGCTACAATTTCGTCGGCTTTTATCAAAAGGATATTAAGCGTGGCAACTGTGAGGGCAGGCTGCAATATTTATATGCGTGTTGATTTCTGTTTGCTGAAATTAACCTTTTCGGCACAGCCCTTCACACCCCTGCCACTTGTTTAGCCCTCGCTTGTTTACAGATGCCCGCTGCTAGATAAGGTCTAGGCAAAAGGGTCAAAACGCAGTCGCATGTGTTTCACTACGTTTACTGCCTCCTGACCCTTACGGCCCACACTGTCTTATCCGCACTCTCCTCTCACCCTACCCAATTCAGTATTCATTGCCTGCCTCATTTAACTGAGGCCATAAATATTCTAAATCACCAGCGGGGCCAATGTCGGCTGGCAGCCTGAAGTTGTTAAGATAATAAACTTTGTAATTAATTTTGCATCGTTAAATGAGTGAGAGTGGGAACGGGAGATCGAGAGAGAAAGGGAGAGAGTCGTGCAGTTTTCTCGTTTAATTTCAGTTTTGAGAGCAGTTTTAATCGCCTGCTCATCGCCAACTTCTTCTGATGGCGCCTAATTGACTTCACTCACGAATTTTCATTATTCGTTTGCTTATGTTCTACTTTTTTTTTACAGCTAGGCGAAACACCTTTCGGATACGTATCTATCTCTCTCATTTACTTGCTGTGCAACTTTATATTCATATTCATATTCATAACTTTTTTTTCATATGAATTTATCATTTTTATCGCCATCGCGCCATAAAAATTGCATAATCTTAAAAACATTACACCTGCTTTTGCAATCGCTCTATAGCTAGATCATCTAGTTTTTTACAAGACTCATCTCATTTGTGTTTTAATTGAAATTTTTTAATGGTTTTCTTACAGATAACGCTGGAGAGCTTGGATGGGTATTCACCCTAATCGTAGTCTCAATCATATCGGGTCTTATAGGTGCTATTGTAATGGTCATATTTCTAAGATGTAGAAGGTATGTATATCGATCAATTTATTAAGCTTATTCGATTTTCGTCATATATGAGGCCTTTTCTAGCTGTTTACTAGAAGTATATTTGGAAAAGTGATCAAAATAACCCATCGATAAGTTATCGATTTGTGATAACTTCGTTAGCCAAGCTGTTTTTAATTTCAGCTTTAAAGGCAAGCGCATAAATTTGCAATTCAAATTAATTGCCCAAGACAAACAACAAGCAATAAATAAAAATGCTAATAAATAGACACATTTTGGCATTTAGCTAGAAAAATACCGCAATTAGTCATCATAAACATATATCTCTACGCTCATATATACAAAACGTGTACGATATGAGTCGCATAGCCAGCACGGACATTCAACTCAGACCCCAAGACGACCCCAACGATCCGTCATGCAGCGACATTTACAATACCAGACAAATTGAATATGTGCTATGTCCATACATCCAGTGCGAATATATCAGCTGTGGCACAAGTACACATATGTATGTATGTAACAAAAAGATTTACAATGTATTTGCCCACACAACAGCAAACAGCAATTCAATTAAACGCCCACCGAAGGCAAGAGAAACCTTTAAAGCGCCTTCATGCGGCCAGAATAGCGGCAAAAATAATCGAGGCGCAAAACAAAAGAACATGAAATTGCTTTATTACTTAATTGCTCTTTAAAATAAACACACAACAGCAACAACAACAACAACTACAATTATTGGAGGCTACATTTTTGCCACAGGCCATTCTTTTGGCGTCTATCAAAGGCGTAGAGTGGGTCAGTCACAAACACACACACATACACACAGTACACACTCGGTAATCGCGACAAGATACATTTAAATGGACATTCATTTGTTGAAAGTATATTCGGGCAATTGCAGAGTATGGAGGGGCTGGAGGGGATGCTTCAGCTGCCAAGTGTGCGGGGGCGTTGGCAACACGCGAGCTCAAAATTAACCAAAATTTTTGTTGGCTTTGCGCAGGCGCCGCTGTCGCTGCCGCAGTTAACGTTGCCTTTCAATCGAACGCTGGCCACATGTCGCGTCCAATTAAATTGTCATGTTGTTGTATTTTGGCGGCATGTTTGCATAAAATTAATTTCGCAAATAATTTGCCAAAGCAAAACAAACAAATGAACAAACAAACACAAAGCCGAGACAAGTGAGAAGCAATTGGCGTCGGCCAAAGACGACAGGGGCATACCCTTCATGGAGATTTACAAAACATAAAATAAAAATTGGCGTATTTAACTTGGTCATTTTGTATTATATGTATTTGTTTTGCATATCAAAGAATTCCAAAAGACAACAGACTGAAGAACCTGAATACTAAATAGTATAAGATTAAAAAACATCCAAGGAATAATATTTTAAATACATTCTATCTATAAGAGGCATACCTAATACACACAAATGAATGATCAAAATTGTCTGTGATTAAAATACCTCAAAGAAATAATCTTATTATAGACATATTCTCTCTATAAGAAACACACCCAACATACCCTACACCCGATCCGCTGGGCACATGAGCATAGTCTGTAACTAAAGTCTCGTAGGCAGACAGTTTGAGTGGGGTGTTCGATTGGGTTGGGGAGGGGGCTCTCGTAGCTCGATGCATGTTTGGCTACGCATTCACACGCTGCTTGTCTAGCTTAGATTTGCCATTATTTAAGCTGGAATCTGGGCATATGGAGTAGCCCTCCCCGCAGCCCGCACCCCGTATAGGTAGACAGCAATCGGATTGTCACGCTGTTCACCTTGCCGTCAGCTTTAGTCAGTCAGTTTGCCAGAGTTGTTTTTGCAACTGTTTCATGTCAGCTGGCGGTCGGTTCGGTGGGTTCGGGCGTCGTGCATGGACGTGTTGGCTGCCAAATTAGCAGCAATTACATGTAATATCGGTTACACTTATTTGCATATTGATGCAATTCTCGATCGCCTAATGGCGCTATAAATTTGCTCGGCACATGTTGCTGCTGCCGCGGCTGCTGCAGCTCACAAGTTTGCTAGTTGCCATTTGCAGTTGTTTTTGTTTTTCGGCTCATGATTTGTTAGTGGACACCTCAGAAGTCGCGTTTTAATGGCACCTGCCATTCGGCCTGACAATGTTTGCTCAATGTCTAGACATTGTAATGGCAACACGGTTAACTCCAAATGTCTTTTTTTGCTGAGCCACTTGTCGGAAAAACTCAAAGCACCATTTGATTTGAAATGTTGACTGTCGAATTGATACTGGCGCTTGAATTACTTAACTTGCCGAGTGAAGAGCGTTAAATAAATGATGTTGTGCTAGTTTGTAGATTGCTAGCATCAACATTTTTAAGCCACTCGAAATGCCAAATCTATTTAAAATTCTTTTTATAAAGAACTGCAAGTAGACTCTTTAATACATTCGATTCAACGTTTAAGAATTCTCTTAAGCATATGAAAATTGGGCTTCTGTTTAAGAGATAATATTTTGTTGCAATTTAGCCAAAGTTCAAATCAACTTATTTTTTAGAATATACTACAGAGTGAATCTGCTGTAATTTACCAAAAAACACTACTTAAAATATAGCATGAATTTATTTAAATATATTGTTTATATTGTTGCTTGAGTATTTCCAATCTTACAATCTTAAATATTATTTAAAATATAGATTGTACTGGTTTGCCCGAGTATTATCTGCAATTTATGCCTGCATCGATTTTGTTATTTGATTTATTTATTTAACTTTAAGCTTAAGCCCAAATAATCAAAAAAAAAAAACAGTGTCCGCCTACACACACCCATAGCACGCACGCCACAGCAAGTCTGCATCTAGCTCACTTTCTGTTTGACAATAACATTGTTAAATTGCACAAAATTGTCGCTTCGTGCTCGTATTTCATAGTTTGATAGAAAATCGAATAACGAAATTCAAGTTTAAAGCGTTTAAGGCAGCTGCAACAACGCCGAGCTACATAAAAAGGCGTGTTCAATTAGCATGCTTCAAGCTCGATAGCGAAAAAACAACAAAAAAAAAATCAACTGCTGACGAAAAACAAGCGCAGAGAACATAACGTTTCAAAGGAAAAACATACAAAAAAATTGAAGAAAAAAAAACGCAGAAAATAAAAGAAAAACAGTTGGAAAATTAGCGCAGAGCAAAGGCACGGCCCCCAAGACGGACAACGACTGGCTGAACGGTGAGCTTGTTCACTTTAATTGAATTGCAAAAAGAGAGAAAAAAAGGCCAAATTAAAAAGAGGCGAATGCGAATCAAAAAGTCGAACTGGCGTCGGTTTAGCTCAGGTTAACATTATAATCGATCAAGGCAAAGCGAGGGGAAAATTGAACCGCATGCCGAGTTGCACTCAATCATACGGACACGGCGTACAATGGACGGACACTAGACGGTTAATTGATACGCACAATCTATATCCATTAGGTTCGTGCTCGATCTGACCCAGAAAGCGGTGGCAAGTGCAAATACTGTGGGGCCAAAGTTAATGGCAATGCGAGAAACTGTTAGAGAAAATTGCTAAACTTCAAATTGAAAGCGGAATTTGTAGAACAGAAGACAACAAAGGCAACAACAACCGCCGCAACAAAACGACATCAACATTGAAAGAACAGCCCACAAATCGGGCAGGTAATCCGGTTCAGCCTCTTCAATTCTACGCTTATCCGCAAGATTTTGTGCGCTAATCTAATCTCAACGTTTGTGTTGCAACAAATGGTGAATGCTGCTGCTGTTGTTTTTGTTGTTGTTGCTGCTGCTGCTGCTGTTGTAATGCAATTGTGTTGTTTGTGTAAAACTCTTATCTGCTTATACATATATTTTGCAGTAGTTTATCTGCGTGTCACACGCAAAACTTTTATTTGCGTAGACGAAGTTTGTGTCCTAAGTCTTTCGTTTTGGCATTTGCCATTTGTCGCCGTTTCTTGGCATTGAACAATTTGACATTTGCTTTGTGCTAATTTATGTTTATTTTACCGCCAATTTCTGTTTATTAATTGCAACATTCTGTACGCTTCTTATCTTTACAGAATTAAATCAGCGAATGCCAATGGTAAGTGCAAATCAAGTTTCTTAACTTAAGAGGGGTGCAACATCGAGATAATTACTATCTATATTTTGCTGGGCTATTAAAGTATTTAAGATAAATATTTAAATCGCAACAATCGATTCCACTTTGAAGTTTTTTTTTTTTATACATTTCTTATAGGTTTCCTATAGACGTTGTCAGCAGCTATTTCCGTCATTCTCCAACTGCATTTCAAACTTGATCAATTAGTACCTTGCTTTTTGCCTGCCTCGTTTGATTAATTAAGCAAGTCAGCGCTAGGCAGACTCTTTTTTGCCTCAACTTCTTCTTCTTCGTATTCTTAGCATATTCTACACTCGTTTTTTTCCTCTTTTCCATTTCCATTTTTAATTGCATAATTCTGGCTTTGCATGCAATTCACGGAAATTCGTTTTTGCTTTTGTTGCAGAGCAAATTTGTGGCACAAGTGGCAACAATTTAATTTGTTTTCTCTTGGCTCTTGTGTTGCTGCAAAGCGAACATACAAATTTTTGACGACAATGCATGAAGTTCACGTTCGTGCCACAAATCTTAGATGCTGCTGAAATGGAAACTGATGTACGTGCCCCCACAGAGCCCGTGGCAGCATTCGGCTTAAGTAAATTTGTAGACAAATTAAGGCAAAGGCTAACAATTGTCTTGAGTTCCCCAGCCAGCTTTTGCTTTTGGCATTGGCCTTTCCTTCAGATGGCTGGCTTAAACACGTTCGAAAATCGTGCAAAAAACTTTTTTTTTTGATTTAGTTGCTTGGCGCGCGGTTCTGTTTCCTTTATACAGTAGGCGAATTATTGACAAACGAGCTGGGGTACAACCCAAGCCCACCATGTGGACCCTTTTTTGGCCAACTCTCTCTTTCCAATTGGCGCCAATTTCACTGTCTGTCTGCTGACTGTCCTGTGCTGACATCGACATGCAGGACAAATTGTTGACGGCATTTAATGTCACAGCAGCCAATTAGCTGTCCCATGAAAATCTTCACTTGCTGTTGTTGTTTTTTCTCTGCTGTTTTTTCGGCTGTAACTTTTTTTGGCTAAAGTTTTTCTTTTGTGTGTGTTTTAGCTCTCGCGCAGTTTTGTTGTTTTTCTGCTGCTACGCACGGTTGCATGTTGCGAAAACAACAAACAACTGCAACAACAACAGCAGCAAAACAAAACAATCACCGCAAATCGTTAAACTGTCAGCAGCTTTTAAAGCGCGTGATTATGTCGAAGTCAACGTCAACGTCGACGTTGTGTGGCGACAGGCGCCAGTTGCCCAAAAACAGTTTTTAAAATGCCGAAGAGAAAACTTATTTTCAATTGCCCAAAAGCTGAGCACATTAAAACAACTCGACTGCAGCTGATTATGTTTGCACCCAAAGTAAATAATTAAGGTGCATAGAAAAATACCGTACGACACCTTTAAAAGTTAATTGCCACATCTTGTGGAATTGCCAAAAACTATACAAAATGCCATTGACTAAGTAAATGCTTGGTGTTGTTGCAACACTCCAAAATTGCAGTTGCTGCAAACACTATTTGCATAGGAAATTCTGCGCTCAATTATCTTGAACGCTGCCAGGCAGACAACGCGGCGTATGAGTAACATTACTTTAATTATGCATACGCGATAAGAACAGCTATGCGACATTTTTTTTGTGCCTAGGTAACAGACACAGAGAAGGCATTCAAGCCAACTCAAGCAGTAAACACGCTGACAGTCATTGGCATTATCTGTGCGACTATTAAGACTTCATTACACATGTCATATGCGCCATTTGGCGACTTGTTTCACAGAAATCCAACGAGACGCAAAACACACATTAAATTCCAAAATGATCGTTAATATTTTTGCTATTTATTTTTTTGATTATTATTTGTTGTTGCCGTGGTGTAGCTGATTCAAGTTGAACACAAAGTTTTTAGCCAAAAGCTGCTGTGAAATATTTTGTTAACAAAATTTGCCGTTGCTGCCGCTGGCGGTGCACGCAGATAAGCAGCAGCAGATAAGGCCGGCAGCGGTAGCAGTTGCAGCAACAGCAATAGCTACCAATGCACCCTGGTTGGAAGCTACTTGCATTTGTCGAAAATATTTTGTAAACAAATTGGGGTAGTTGATGGTTTGTTTGTATGGGAAAGTGAGAGGAAATTGTCTGAGTGGAAAATCTTTCAACGATCTCATGGTACAAAATAATAAATATATAAATACTTATAATAATAAAATTTAATAAAAATAATAATAACAATAATAATGATAATAATAATAATAATAATGAGAATGATAATAATAATAATAATAATGAGAATAATAATGAGAATGATAATGATGATAATAATAATGATAATGATAATAATAGTAAAAATAACATATTCAATAAAGAATCTACAACAAAAAGTTCTTCAGTTGGTCTCACTGGAGACTGGAAACATAATAAAAATAATTAAATATAATAATAATAATTCCTAAGAATACGCCATAAACTATCTAGATTTACGGGGAATACTTTTAAATAAATTTCTAAGCCTTAATAAACTAATACAGCACACAGTGCTTCGATAAATTCGATGAAAAAAGTTTGGCACCACTGTGCAATGGCAGCAATAAGCGTAAGTTCAATGCAATTGCTGCGGTAGCAGGCAGCAACATCGTTAACATTTCACAAAAACAGCTATTAAAGCCAACTAGCCGCACAGTCCGAATCCAAGTCCAAGTCGGACTCCGAGTCCAAATCCAAGCTGGAGTTGCAGGCAAATATTGCAGCTTGGAGTCGAGTTGCAGTGTCTCTGGCGTTTGTGACATGCACAAAATGCATGTATATGAGCACCTACGTACGATAAGGTTGGGTTAATAATCGCCAGAGAGCAACAGAGCCACAAGTTCCAGGCACAGTCATAGCTACGGCACAGTACGTAAATCATAAGCATTAAAAGCAGGCAACGAGTGGCAACAACCGAAATGGCTGCATTATGCATGTGCATAACTTGGAAAATTGGCGACGTTGCCAGCGGTTGCAAGTTGTTGCGTATGCATTCCGCTAATTAGTTGGATCGCCCCAAGCGGCGGCCAGCTCTGGGCGCAATGAGAGTGAAAGGCGATGCGGTGCGGCGTTAAAAGCTGAGCACTAGCCAATCATTAGCAGCTGAGCAAAGTGGATGAGCTGAATGAGCTGTGGGCAGTGGTGGGAACAGCGGATGCTGAACAGGTCTTGGTCTGGTTATGAACAGAAATTACTATAACAAGGCTCAAGGAATCTATAAAGATGCTGTTAGCGGATAAGCAGCCTATAAATGGTTCACTCTAGTGAATAGAAATTTTATAGACTTCCTATTGAAGCACACATATGTGTGAGAATGGCCAAGGTTAATGATCTCTTTCGGAGTCTTATGATATATGCCAAGGATTACTTATGAGGTTAGGCTTCTTCCACAATGAGATCACACAAGCTGATTAAAAAGGATCTCACAGTATTTTGCACAGTGAGCCAAAGTATTTGACATTTCGGCCCAGTCGCCCATTACTCATGCCACTCGCTTGCAACTGTGCAACCGTGTGGCACACGGTGCTAATGGTGGCTGTTGTTGCCACCTCGCTGCCAGTTGACAGCCGTTTAATTTACGCTTTGTTTGTTTTGCTGTTTGTTTCTCTGTTTGTTGTTTGCTGTTTGCTGCTCTGTCGCGTTCAATGAGGTGAATGTTTGATTTATCGCCCGATTATAGAACCAAATGTCATAGATTTCTGCGTCGCCTGCATCGATTCCCATTCCGATTTCGATTTAGCTTTAAGCCACCAAGTGTTCAAATACCAAAGCAACTACTCATGTGTCTGCCTGCTGCTCTGCATCTCTTACAGGTGGTCGCCCGCAGCCGTGGTGGTGTCGCAACAATCGCAACGGTGCCGGCCAGAACCGCTCGCCAATTTCCATTAAGCATTCGGCGGACAGCATACGCCGGCCGACTAGCAACTCGGGCGTCTGGACCTGGCTGGGCGGCAGTCGGCGCTCGTCGGCGGGACCCGATCAGATTGGTCCGCCATCAACATCGCCAGCCGAGAATCATTATACCCACATGGATGATGCGTACAGTCCGGTCGGTGTCAGCGAAGCTCTCTACGCGGAACTTGATCGCGAATCGGTGCGTTCGGCAAATCCGTCGTATCAGAATACGGCATACAGTCAGTGTGGCGAGGTGAGTTAAGCAATATCGCAAGCTTTATCCAATTATGTAACTCAATTTATCTAAATCCTTTACAGAAATACAATTTCCAAGCACACGAGCAAGACATTCCCATGGTCGTCTCGTCAGCGCCGAGCAGCGCCTACTACTCGGATCTCTCCGTAACGGCCATGCCGGGCGGCGCCAGTGGCAGCAACCAGGGCGCCTATGAGATTGTTGGCCTAAATGTCATGTCGCAGCCGCTGCCCAATTGGGAGCATCATGGCGGCGGCGGCGGCGGCAATGGCGTTGGCGGCGTTGCCACCACCGGTCTGGCGACGGGTGATGCTGCCGCAGCGGCCATGACGCAACGCCGCATGCCGCGGCTGGCGGCCATCAATGAGACGAGCACCAGCACAGTGCCCTCGGACTATGTCTAAGGAGTTGAGCAGTTAATTTGTAATTTATATTATATAAGAGATATGTGACTTTAAAAAAGTGAAAAGAGAACAAGAAATGCGAGCTTAACATGTTAATGAATTACGTTACACACAATCTATATACATACATATATAGTCTAATGATATATATATATACAAATAGTTCTATGGATATATATATATATATTTATATTTATAGCATATGCTAGCTTAGAGTTAGCGTAGTTTCGATTCGTGTCTTTTGTTTATGTCTGAATTGTAATATAAAGCGACAGATTTACATACAAGCATGTATTATAAATCTAGTTTTAATATAGTGTTAAACAACGATTTAATCGTGGGTGATATTTAGCCTAAATATGCTATATTCTTATGTTCTATGTACTTTAGCATTTTCTAAAAATGTAAAAACAACAGAAACGGCAAGAAAAAAGCCCATAAAAGCAAGCAAAAGCAAAACGGAAAACCGAATTATAAGCATTTTTTGATAAATTTGGATTAGGTGAGAGTAACGCATTTCAGTCTTAACGAAAACACCCCAACAATGTACCCAAAATCATATAATGGCATTATACGTATTTATACAGCAACAAACACTCATACACACACATTCACACGTTCATACATATTTACAGCAAATGAATTTATGCTTACAGGAAATATACTATATACAATATCTATAAACGAAGCAAAGGAAAACATATTTACAACGATTTTAATGCAAGAAAATAAAAATGAAAAAGAAGTATTTATGACTATTTACGAAACACACACATAATTATTTATACTGCATACACATATACAATATAATATACTACACGCAACCCAAAACTGGGCCATTGCCACAGATCACAGCTATAGCTCTCTCTCAACTCCAAGTAGCACATCATATCATTTACATACTACAGCATTAACTCAATATAAATAACTACATACATACATGTATACAAACCATTTTCCAAGCATATAACTTAGTAGACATATGTATTTTAGATTTAGTAGCAGCAGCTGCCAATGCTGTTTAATTTAATTTTTGTACATTTTGTTTTAGTTGAAAATATAATTAAAAACTATTGCTATTTACATTCTGAATCCCAAAATGGATCTGTGTTTTATTTACCTCTAAAAAACGCTCAACTGAAGACGTTTAAATTACCCCCTGATGACCACTAGACTCTTCCAAATTATCGCTCAATTTCTCTGGCGAGAAGAGGACGATGAGTAAATAACGTGTATATTTATTGTTAAATACTGAATGTTTGTTAGCAAAACTCAAACCTAGGCACAGAGCGTTTCCTCATATATTCCGATACAATAAATCGAATACTGGAAGTAGTAATATCCCGATTTGTTGGACATTATGCACGCATGCCAGTAATACGATATAAGCTATTTATTTAACAATCAGTTTTTAATACCTTTTTAAACACAAGCGATTTATCACTTTTTACATGTTTGACATATCTTAATAACTTAATATTAAAATCTGTTATTATATACAATTGATTGCCACGATAGATTGTCGGACTCACTCACAGCCCAAACCGTAAGACCCCGAAAACTGAATCGACGTTATTAAACTCAAGTGCACGCTAAGACGGACCATAAGACAAATCTTTTTTGTATACCAATTTGTAACAGGAACAGGGTATGCATTAGTCGTATATCGTTTACCAACAATTCGAAAAATCTTACACGTATGTGTATTTTTGTATGAATGTATCTATGTAAGTGGTTATGTATGTATGTAGTTATGTATATTATATGCTTGTGGTTATGTATATATGTATGAAGTTATGTATATATGTATGTGGTTATGTGTAAATGTTTGTATGTGTGTATATATTAAATATATGATCGGATGAATGTATGCATGAAAAAAAATATATAAGACAACTTTACCTGCCGCTATACATCAATGCCCTTCTATGCAATTCTCATGAATTCAAGTAAGCCTTACAGCTTTTCGTGCCTTGATTAAATATATTGTATTAACAACTTCTACGAACCATCTAACAAATTCTAGCTCTGCTCATAAACGAATTTACTCTCGTATTCATATATCTTTCTGCTGACATTACTTAAGCGCTTTCTCTACACTTATGTTAATTAGGTGATGTGTATATATAAATGTCTGTCTCCCTCCTATTAATAGTTTGCAGTAAAATAATTATGTGTATATAACTAGGAAACAGGCTATTTTCAAAACACCGAATATTAAATACGGATTAGAATTGTTTCTACAGGATCCCCAGTAATCTGATCGTATGCGGTTTTGCAGATATGGTAAGAGAATAATGAAACTCGAATTTTCTGGACTAGGTTGAAATTGTTAAAACAGGCAACAAGCAACGTTTCAACACAATTGCATTAAACCGGACAAAATCGTTTGCATAGAAATAGACAGACGGACGGGCATAGCTATATCCACTCGGCTTTTGATACTCATTTAGAACTATATATTGTAAGTCGCCTTCAATTATAAAGTCCTTTCATGACAAAATTATAATATTCTTTAGAAGAGTTTAAAAAGAATATATGTGAAGGAAATACAGACCTGCATATTGGTTTACTCCAATTATAAACGTACACATTTAGATCAACCTGTTGAACGTCAAATTTGTTCATCCAGAGTCACTAAGTTACTCGAAATGCTATGAACCTTTCAATCGTATTCAACATATTCACATTCTGGCATATCATTGCCATCCTCATCTCCTACAATCTCATGTGTATCAGTTCCTAATTCGGAGTTCGACTCCTTAAGCTGGCGGGTATGAATTTTATAGTGAGCGCGAAGAGCTGCCTTTTGCCTAAAATGTCTGCCGCATTCCACGCACCCATGTGGCTTCTCGCCCGTGTGGATTAGCTCATGTTGGTTACGTGTCTCGGGCTGAATGAAGGCGCGCTCGCAATAGCGGCAGACATAATTCCGTGCACGCTCGTGTATGGTGCGCATATGTTTATTTAGATTACTGGAGCTGTAGCACACCTTAGAGCAGAGCCGGCAGCAATAGGTGCGCTCTAGCGTATGATAGTTCAGGTGAATCTTGAGTTCGGTCCGTGTCGTCTTCTGTACGCCACAGTATGAACATGTGTAATTCTTGATGCCCGCATGGCGCATCATATGTATTTTTAATAGCTGCTTAGTGGCGAAACGTCGCTCACAGTCCGGCTCCTCGCATGCAAATGGCTGCTCCAACTTGTCTTTGTGTGTAAAACGATGGTTTTTGAGCAGCGCCATGGTGTCAAAGAGCTTGCCACAGAACTCGCAAACATGCGACTTGTGCTCCTTGCCAAGCTTATGACACTTTCGCATATGCAGGGATAACGTATGCTTGTGGCTGTAGCCTCGATCACAGCCTGGTTCGGGGCATGGGTACGGCATCTGTCCATGTCGCCGACTATGCGCTAGCAGGCGCTTCTCATTTAAGAATTGCGCGGCGCATATATCGCATTTGAAGACGCCTTTGGGATGCTGTGGCGAGGAGCTCTAAAAATTTAAGCAATGCTTCTGATACATTTCTCACATATTTCTGTTTTTGGCTTTCTTACTGTAACGGCATCCAATTCTACGTCGTCCTCCAAGGGCTGCGGAGGTGGTTCCATGTCACGAATTTCAATTTCCACTTGTACAGAATCCAATTGGTGCTCTTCACATTTTGCTTTGCTTCTGTGCCCTTTTCTATTTTGCTTTTCATCGTTCTCTTTTAGCTCCTCGACTGCAGCTGTACTCGGTGGTGCCGCCTCCAAGTCGTAAATAGGTTCCTCCTCATCGCAAAATGCCAAAATTTGCATGCGCCATTTTGTATCAGCTGCAATGCACTTTGCACGGAATGCATATAACTGTTCCAACAGGTTAAAGCACCCCTGGCAAAGCTCACTGGGAACTCGCTGCTCCTCAGACACGGACAAATCGGTGCAAGTGACAAACTTGTGTGCTAATAGAGGCAATTTACGCATATCGTAGCTGCCGACAGTTGCATCGAGATCACAAATGCAAACACGGCACTTCGTAAAAGTAGTCATCAAAGCTGCTTATTAGTTTATCACATTTGAATAATACAATTTCCTTGTCCAGTGCTACAGAATAAATGACGGCGTTCTTTTGCTAACGCGGTTGCAGCTGATCAGAGGGTATCGACTATCGATAACTTTCTTCAATTGCAACAGTGTAAACATATGATGGTGGCATCAAACGTGACTAGAAAAATAATACAAATATAATTAAATACTAACAATGCCTCTTAAAGCAAATATGATAATGCATATGAATTTTTGTTTTATTTTATTTTGATTTCAAATCGTATTCGTTACTTTAGGATTTTGTAGCAGCTGGTCCAACATTTTGGCAATGGATACTTAAAAGTACTTGTTAGATGTAGCAGGTCACCCCCGCATTCATTGTTTACGTTTAGGTACAAAGTTCAGTTGTCTGGTTAAGATGTTGAAATTAAATAGTTACGGAACGCGCAAATTAATTTTAGATATTTATAAATATCGATTCTACTCGGCTGCCGTCCCAAAAAGGAAACCCGAAAATGAAGTTAGCAAGGAGCCCAAAAGACCAAATGAATCTTTCATGGCAAACATATTTCGTGGCACTTTGGTCTCGAAGCAAGTTTTCCCCTACCCCGATGTCTTGACATTGGAACAAAAGGAAACAATAGAAAGTATGCTAGATCCATTTCAAAAATTCTTCTCCGATGTAAACAACGCTGCGCGCAATGACGACAACTCCGTCATCGACGATAATACGCTTAAAAATTTATGGGAGCTCGGTGGCATGGGCATCCAGGTGCCCAGCGAATATGGCGGCCTGGGCATGAACAATACTCAGTACGCGAGGCTGTGCCAAATAGTCGGAGCGAATGACTTGGGACTGGGCATAACCCTGGGCGCGCATCAGAGCATCGGCTTCAAGGGTATTCTACTGTATGGAACGCCCGAGCAGAAGGCGAAATATTTGCCCAAGGTAGCTTCTGAAGAGGTTTACGCAGCCTTTGCTCTCACCGAACCAAGCTCTGGATCGGACGCCAACTCTATACGCAGCCGCGCAGTCAAAAGTGCGGACAACAAGTACTATATTCTAAATGGTTCCAAAATATGGATTTCCAACGGCGGATTAGCCGAGGTCATGACAGTGTTTGCCCAAACCGAACAAATTGACAAAAAGACTGGCGAAAAGAAGGATAAGGTGACCGCTTTCATTGTGGAGCGTTCCTTTGGCGGTGTCACTAGCGGTCCACCAGAGAAGAAGATGGGCATTAAGGCCTCAAACACGACCGAAGTTTATTTTGAGGATGTGAAAATTCCCATTGAAAACGTTCTCGGCAAGGAGGGCGAAGGATTTAAGGTGGCCGTTAACATACTGAACAGTGGTCGCTTTGGCATGGGTGCCACCATGTCGGGTACCATGAAGAAGTGCATTGAGATTGCAACGGCACATGCCAACGGTCGCGTACAGTTTGGACAGAAAATCAAAGAATTTGGCACCATTCAGGAGAAATTGGCCAACATGAATATACTGCAATATGCCACGGAATCGATGGCGTTTATGATATCGCAAAACATGGACTCGGGCAGTCAGGATTACCATTTGGAGACAGCCATATCGAAGATTTACTCCTCTGAAAGTGCTTGGCATGTCTGCGACGAGGCTATACAAATTCTTGGTGGCATGGGATTCATGAAGGAGACTGGCTTGGAGCGTATCATGCGAGATTTGCGCATCTTCCGCATATTCGAGGGCACCAATGAGGTGCTACGCTTGTTCGTAGCCCTCTCCGGAGTGCAATACGCCGGCAACCATTTGAAGGAACTGCAGCGTGCGCTGAAAAATCCAGCTGCCAATCTAGGCTTCATATTCAAAGAGGCATCCAGACGTGCAACAACTACGATTGGCTTAGGTGGCACCGACTTGAGCGCCTTTGTGGTGCCCGAATTGCAGGAATCTGCGAAGAGAACCGCCGCTTGCATTGATCTATTTGGCCGAACCGCTGAAGAGGCTCTAATGAAATACAACAAGAACATCATCAACGAACAGATTATATTGAATCACTTAGCGAATGCCGCCATCGACATATACGCCATGATCGCAACGCTCTCCCGAGCAACTCGAACTGCGAAACTTAACCTGCCCACGGCGGAACATGAACTTAACTTAACCAAAGCCCTGTCAGTTCAGGCAACCGAACGAGTAAACCAACATTTGCGAAAGGCGAGCTCAGGCCAACTGCAAGGCGAAAACAAATTAATATCAACAATAGCAAAAAAGATTTGTGAACAGGACGGTGTACACTCGACAGGTGTAATTGATTTAAATTGAACTTTAAGTTTAAAAACAAAGAGATTGAACAACTAAAGAGAAACTAATCCACATGTCTAATCCAACCATTAGAAAATTACATTTGTCTCAACCTTTTCTGTACCGAATTTTTAAATAAATTTTTAAGTAAATTACAATTGCATTTAGCTCGAGTTTGGCATAATTAATATTGGGCTCATAAGCTTAATCATTTTTTTTTTCAGCATTAGAAACTTTGAAATACGAATGATTAAACTTTACTATTTAAGATAGGCGCGACATGATAATTTTAGTTCAGCTCAAAGTCCATATGCTCTGTCACTTGCTGACGCACTATATACTATATGACGACGTACGGTGCCAATTTATAATACAGTAGCCGTTCGCAAATAAGAACGCTTCGTTTCTACAGCCGGTGCTTATTTGCAAAAATTTTTAACTTATACATATAATATGATATTGAATAAAGTATACTATACATTTAATTCTAATCAAATAAAGAAGGTAACAAAATAGTTCTTAAAGCAAGAATTGCATGGTCAATGCTGTGAAACCTCGATTCTAATTTCTGTAAGTTCTAGTATCCGAGTGATTACTGTACTAAGGAACTTTGGAATTTGAATTATTGAAATGATGATAGGCACAGCACGCGAATTGTGAGTGCAGACCAAAGTCAGACATTATATATAGTAATCTTAGAATTAAATAGTAATCTTAGTGTATTAATACACACTTTATTGCAAAATTGATGTACACAAAAAAATCGTTATCTTTGGTTGGTTTCTTAAAGAGATTCGTTCTTCTTATGGTTGCAACTTCATGTTATTAACTGCCGCCATCCAACTGCACAACGCTAATAGCAGCTGTGTCAGTCGGAACAGTCATCAATAGCGTATACACAGCCGAGTTGGAGTCCTTGCGTTGTCGCTCATGGATCTTGCGATGCGTGCGTAAGGCCGCTGGCTGGGTAAAGCGCTTGCCGCATTCCTCGCACTCGTGCGGCTTTTCGCCAGTGTGTGTCATCTCGTGGTATTTGCGGGTGTCCGCCTTGGCAAAGCTGCGCTCGCAGTAGCTGCAAGCATAATCTCTGGCATGCTCGTGAACGGTGCGCACGTGCATCTTGAGATTGCCGGAGCTGTTGCACACCTTCGAGCAGAAGCGGCAGGGCCAGGTGCGCTCTAGCGTGTGATAGTTCATGTGTATCTTCAGCTCGTTCCGTGTTGTCTTGCGCATGCCGCAGTAAGGACAGCTAAAGTTCTTGATGCCCGCATGCCGCATCATGTGCACCTTGAGTTTTTCTCTGCTGGAGAAACGCCGTGAGCAGTCCGGCTCTTGGCACGCGTGCGGCAACTCCGATTTGTCTTTGTGCGTGTAACGGTGATCATTGAGCACTGCCGTCGAGTTAAACACCTTGCCACAAAACTCACACACGTGAGACTTGAGCTCCGGGCCCAGTTTGTGGCATCTGCGCATGTGCATAATAAGCGTGGGCTTGTGGCGATACATCTTGTGGCAACCCTCCTGCTCACAGCTAAACCAGCTGCTGGTGCCCGAGTGTTGCTTCAGGTGCTCCGATAGACAATGAAAACGATTAAATGCTCGATCACAGCCGGCTTCAGTACACGGGTAAGGCATGAGGCCTTCATGTTGCCGCTGGTGCGCCTGCAGGCGATGTTCCACCAAGAAGCGCATGTCGCATATGTTGCACTGAAAACTGGGCGCAGCTGGCTTGGCTGGCAAACTCTAAAAGAGCAAAGTTAGCTAAATCTTTTGGGAGTACCACAAAGATATACCTGTTCCCCTATTGTGTCCAAAACTGTAACTTCTGTTTCGGGTAATTCTATTTCAGTCTCTTCATTTGCTAATTGCTGCAATTCCACTTCTCTACTGAGGTTGTCTCCTCGCCTCTTTCGCAGCTTCTTGTCAGTGTAGGCCTCCAGCTCAGAGACTTCTATAGCTGCCGCATCCAAGCTGCATTTGGGATTCTCAGCATCAGAGGATGCTAAAATTTCAACGCGCCATTGTCTATCGGCTGCAATGCACTTGGCACGGAATGCATAGAACTGCTCCAACTGATCATGGCACGCCTGGCATAGCTTACTTGGCAACGGCTCCTCTTCCCCTGCCGCAGACGGGTTCAAATCTGTGCAGGTGATGAATTTGTGTGCCAGTGTGGGCAATTTTCGCATGTCGTAGCTGCCGACAGTTGTATCGAGGGTACAAATGCAAACACGGCATTTGAGTCGAATATTTACTGACGTCATAGGCTTAATTTCAGTTTATTAAGTGTCGCTGACCCAGTGTGTAAGTGCAACAAACGCTATTTGTTTATTTTATTATTGTTTATTTGTTTGAAACAGCTGTGCCGACAGAAGAGATGCCCGAATCGGTGACTGTAACAGTAGCAGTGACTGAAAACAGTGACAACTCAGCTAAAAGTGATTTTCAGTGTTGGAATTGGCAAATAAATTGGACAAAACTTTTTTGGTATATTCGTTTTGTTTTTATTACAACAGTATTCAATTATTTTCTGAATACTTGGCCTATGAGAAGTTTGTGTAATTATAAATTATGCCTGTAAATGCACCGAATTTGAGCCCAAATAGTTTACTTATAATCATGTACCACATGTCCTAGCACATTACCAACGCCCACAGCTTGTATATCATTTGGAGATGTCATCGGGCTTGCATTTGTTTCCATGCTCTCCCGCTCGTGGATCTTGCGATGAGTGCGAAGCGCGCCCTTTTGCCTAAAGTGCCTGCCACAATCCGGGCACTCGTGCGGCTTCTCGCCGGTGTGAATCAGCTCGTGTTGCTTGCAAAGGAATGGCTGGGTGAAGGTGCGGTCGCAGTAGCTGCAGGCGTAACTCCGGGCACGGTCACGTTCGTGTACGCTGCGCATGTGCAGGTTGAGATTGCTGGAGCTGTTGCACACCTTGGAGCAGATGCGGCAGCAATAGGTGCGCTCCAGTGTATGATAGTTCAGGTGAATCTTGAGCTCAGTCCGTGTCGTCTTCTGTACGCCACAGTAGGTACAGCTATAGTTTTTAATGCCCGCATGCCGCATCATGTGCACCTTGAGTAGCTGCTTGCTGGAGAAGCGCTGGGCGCAGTCCGCCTCTTCGCACGCATACGGCAGCTCCGATTTGTCTTTGTGGGTGAAGCGATGATTTTTGAGCCGCCACAGAGTGTCAAATGTCTTGCCACAGTATTCGCATACGTGCGACTTGTGCTCCTTGCCCAGCTTGTGGCACTTGCGCATATGCACGCTGAGCGTATTCTTGTGGCTGTAGCCGCGGTCGCAGCCCGGCTCCGGGCAGGGATAGGGCATCAGTCCGTGTTGACGCTTGTGTGCTTGTAGGCGATGTTCCTCCAAGAATTGCGTCGCGCAGATATCGCATTTGTAGATCGATTTTTGCTGTTGTAGCGGGAGGTTCTAAAATGGCCAAAGGCCGATATGAAGCTTAAATAGTAACATTTCCAATGTTTTGCAAACCTGTTCGGCACCCAATTCCGAGTTGACTTCTGTAAGCTGTTCCGGTGGTTCCACTATGCGTGATTCCACTTGCGCTTCTGTATTGGCTGTTTCCTGCAGGTCGTGATGCCGGTTGGTGTCTGCTTCAACCCGGCACTGCTTAGGTTCCACGACTTCATCAGGAGTCGTTGGCTGCGCGGCATCGTTAATGGGCTGCTCATCATCGCAAAAGGCTAGTATTTCCATGCGCCATTTTGTATCGGCTGCTATGCACTTGGCTCGAAATGCATACAAACGTTCCAGCTGGTCATGGCAGGCGCGGCACAGCTCACTTGGAAGCCGCATCTCATCGGACAGGGACAAATCTGTGCAGGTGACGAACTTGTGCGCCAGCTTGGGCAGTTTTCGCATGTCATAGGATATAGCATCTGCATTGAGTGTGCAAATGCACACACGGCACTTGGATGAGATGGACATTTATGCTGTTCACCAAATCTCAATAAATTCAAAGCAATTTTGCTGAACAGTGTGCAAGATATTTATTTTTGTTTATGCGGGAATCAGCTGATTGAAACAGTGTGCAAAGGGGCGTATTGCAAGCTGTTACTGCAAGTTTGGCATTTTCCAACACTATTCCTTAATATGTGGGTGGAAAACTCGTAGATTTCTTGGACTGCACAACAAAATATTTAAAACAATGGAAAAACCTAATGGAATACACTATATTGAGCTTTCTAACAATTTCATACGTTTTGACGCCGTCAGCCAGCTAACGAATGTCTTCTTTGACGACTCCAACAAGCAGGTAACAGAAAGGCAAGTCACTGAGGCCAAAATGGGTGAACTGCAGCATTTTTTCTGTTTTAGATTTTTGCAGTCCGCTCGGGCGGGGCCACGGGCGTGGTGGTTAAGGGGCCCGTGGAGGATACTGTGATAACGTTTTGCATGAGTGATCGTGGAGGCGCTATACGCTCCATCAAATTCGCGCCGGACAATCAAATTCTGGCCGTGCAACGCAAGGAAAACGCGGTGGAGTTTGTTTTCTTTCAGGGCGATCAGCCGTTGTTGCAGGACATTGTAACGCATCAGGTCAAAACGCTGATCTATGGCTTCGTTTGGGTGCACAATCGCGAGCTGGCGCTCATATCCAACACAGGCGTGGAAATCTTTCAAATTCTGCCGGAGAAGCGACAGGTGCGCTCAGTAAAAGCGCTGAGCATAAGCATCAAATGGTTTGCCTGGTGCTGTGATGCCAATGTCGCCCTGCTGTGCACCACAGAGGGCAACACACTGGTTCCTGTGCTGGTAAAGCAAAAGGTCATTACCAAGCTGCCCAAAGTGGACTGTGAGTAACCCAATAGTTAATAAAAGCTTTCGAGCCTATCTTCATATGCTTCATTTTCTTTTAGTGGGCAATCCAAGTCGCGAGGTGCAGGAGAGCAAAGTAACGTTGGGTAGAGTATATGGAGTGCTGGCCGTGCTCATACTGCAATCAAACAGTGCAACGGGCATGATGGAGGTCGAAGTGCATCTGTTAAATGGTCCCGGTCTGGCCCCTCGTAAATGCCATGTGCTGCGACTTAGCCTTATTGGACGTTTTGCCATCAACACAGTAGACAATCTGATAGTGGTACATCACCAGGCCACGGCCACATCGCTGCTCTTTGATATTGCGCTCAGCGGTGAGGTGATCGATGATGTGACCTACCATGCGCCTATTACGCCGGGTCGCTCCATTAAACCATTTGGACTCAAGCTGCCCTCACTCTCGCCGGATGGCCAAATTATGCAGTGCGAGCTTTGTATGTTGTTGACTGTAGTCATATCAAATGTATTATTAACGTCGAAACTCTTGCAGATTCTACCAACTGGGTGCTCTTCCAGCCTAATATTGTGATTGATGCCAAACTGGGCTGCATGTGGTATCTAAATCTTTCCATTGAACCACTCTGCAATCTTATCTCGGATCGCATACGACTCACTGAGTTTCTGCTGCAGCGCAGCAGTGGCAAACAGATGCTATTGAAGGTGGTGGGACAGCTGATGGACGATCAGTACAAGGGCACGATGCTGCCCGTGTTGGAGACCATCTTTGACAAGATCAACAAGATTTATTCGTGAGTAAAATGCTCGAAATGTCAAAGACTTAATAACGATTCTCCTCCTCAGCTCCTGGGTGCGGTTGGAGCTACAGAATCAAACGGCGTTGCCCTCCAATGTGAAGAGCACAATAGCTAAGAACTCAACGCCGCCCATTGTTCTCATCGAGCAATCGGACATGGTGCAAATCTTTCAGCCCATTGCCAAGCGAACGTACACGGAAACTGTGCTAATGCTGTACCTGCAATCCCTAAACAAATACAACATTTCCGCCCAGGAGGAGCTGAGCAAGATGGTTATCAGCGAGCTGATACTTAATCGTAGCTTTGATACGCTGCGCCGTCTGGTCAGCTATTCAATGCTGCTCGAGTCCAAGTCTGTTGCGTGCTTTTTGCTAGCGCACTCCGATGTCAACTCGGCCATTTCACAGGTGGCCATTGATATGCTGGCCAAAATTCAGGCGCATGAGGTAATTTTATTTATTTATTATGTTAATCCCTTGCTAATTTATTTTTTATTTTTTGTAGATCATAATTGAGGTCATGCTGGGTCAGGGCAAGGTCATAGATGCGCTTCGGCTGGCCAAAAATTCGCTGGGCTCAGAAAAGGTGCCGGCGCGCAAGTTTCTCGAGGCGGCCTACAAAACGCAAGATGATTTGATTTTCCACAGCGTCTATAGGTTCTTTCAGATGCGCAATTTGCGCATGTACGAAACTCTGGCGTTTCCTAAAGGTGAGTCAGGTGTGTCAGGTTTTTATATACTTAATTAACGTGATAATTTTTTCAGCCGAACAATGCACCGAGTTTATACAGCATTATAACACTATATTTGCCGCGGATAGTGCCAATAAGTTGCAGATTAGCTGAGCCCTTTTTCGGGTTTGTTCAGTTTATTTTGTGATTTAGCTAATAATTGGGGTATTCACACTGGAGTCTACAAATAGCTTAAGCTTGTACATTAAATTAGAATAAACAAAATAACAAAAGGAAACATTCATATATTTTTATAATTTTTACGACTGTGCAAGTTGACAAACATGTGAAACTTTTATTTTGGTGATTACTAAGGTATTTTGAATCGATAATTGTTGAATCATTTAATTAACTATATAACAACAGTATATTCAAATGATGAATATACATATTTATAGACTGATTCTAGACATAGCATCTGGTGCTAAATATAACCGATGCTAAACTATTCACAGACTCTCTCTCTGGATGATTACCCATAATACTTGACACTGCATTTGTGTACTTACACAACACAAAATTATTAAGAGGTTACGATAAATACAAAGAATGGCTATTTATATGGGATATACATAAATATATAAAAAAATATACATACATGCATATAATGGTTTGCCTAGCAGAAACGTCTGGGCGGCGCCTTAAGCTGCAGCGAGCCGAGCTCCATGGTGTTGGAGCTGCCAAACAAATGCTGACTGGGACATGGCAAGCGTATTGTCGACAACTGCCCAACAGGTACCGCTACAGCACAGCGAGGACATTGTTGCAGTTCTGTTGTTTCGTTCCGACAGTGCTCGTGCAGCGCATGTCCACATGGACCCAACACAAGCACTGGCGTCTGATCATACAAACGCTGCCGGCAGATGAGGCAACGCATGCTCGTTACCCAGAGGCCGCGACGAGCAACTCGACGCTGCTCGGCCAAATCAGTGTGCAGATTCTGGCACAGTGTATCGGCGGCAGAGCGCAGCGCCTCCGTCTCTTGGCGCGAACTAATCAGCATGCTCATCAGCAGATCCTTGATGTCGCCAAAGCTGCTGGACACATTGTGTGTGTTCATGATAAGCTGCACCAGATTGTGCAGATCAATGTGCTGCGAGGCCTCGTGCAGCATAGACTTGGTTATGGACTGCAGATCCTGCTGCGGCAGTATATACTGCAGTAGCGTAAACCAGCAGCGCTCCAGCTGCTTCTCTGGCAGTGTCTGGGCCGAGCGCCCCAAGAGTTCTGCAATTTCCTTAGCTTCCTTTGCAGCTGTATCTACAGTGGCATCACGCAGCAGCTCCATGGACAGATCAAAGGCTTTCGCATAGCTCTCCTGCTGCTCGTACAGGTAGATAACAGCGCGCTTAAGCTGATGCCGTTCCACAATGTCAATGGCTTTGTCCAGACGGTAGCCTGAGCTGGTGCGCAGAAATTCCAGCACTGCATCGGCCCCTTCCAAATTACAATAGAGTTCGAGGAGAAGCTCCATTAACGCCGGCTGCAAGTCGCAATGTCTGTCATTAAGGCACTGCAGCAGACGAAACAGCAGCAGCTGCTGTCCACTAAGCAGCTCCAGCAGCTCACTAATCTTGTCCGGATAGTGCAAGGCAATCAGACGCGTTGTCTCCGCCGCATTAATCTCCAGCAGCTTTCCAAGGTGGCGACGTAGCTGCTGATATATGCAACGCTCGCTCACGCTCACATGACGCTCCATGTAGGCAAACATGGTCTCATGACGCGCCTGGTTGTGTATGAGGCACTCGAGTATGTTGTCGTAGCGGTGCAGCTTCTCCAGCAGATACTCTACGACATAGTAGCAGCGCGCACGTTGCGCCAGCTCTAATTGCTCCTCATCGCTGCTGATGTCTTCCAGGCAATTGCTCGATAGAAGCTCATGCCAGGCGCTCTCCCGCTCCGAATGCTGACGCGCACTCTCATTGGCAATGTTCTCCTGCGCCAGGTAGCTGAGCACACGCTCAAGCAGCTGCTTGTCGCGCGGCAGGCACTGCGTGGATATCTGCTGGGCAATAAAGTTCAGCAAGCAACCAATTTCCGCCCACTGAAAATAAATAAAAGATTAGGGCTTCAGATTAAAATAAATCCATATTTTCCACTCACCGTTGCGTTCTCGGGCGTCATAATTTCAAGCAGCATATAGATGATGCGCTTGCGATGGGAATAGCCGAGCTCGTTGCTGAACTCGCGCTCCTGGAATGCCAGCGAGATGACATTTAAAGTTTCTCGCGTATCGAATTTTAGTAGAGCACGCAGATATGGATAGGGCAGCTCATCCACGGGGCTAGCACTCGAGTGCTGTGAGGTAAGGCAGCGCAGTACGTCGTTCTTTACCTGTTGCACTTGGTCCTCTGGTATGTCGCCGCTGGGAAAGCGACGACCGGCCAAACAGCTGGATATATAGACCAGCAAACAGTTGCCCAGATCTGTTTGATCTGGCCTTAATGGCGGCAACAGCTCCGTCAGCGCACTCGTGTAGTCATTCAGGGCGCAAGCATTGAGATAGAGCTGCGCCCGATACAGCTCATGCCGCTTGACCGCCTTCAGCACCTGATTCAAGTCCAGGCACATCCAGTCTAGCTTTAGGATTAGCTGCTCCAGCTTGGCAGGCGAATGCTGCAACCAATAGTCGACGAGAGCCTGCGATATGACTGGATTAACGCTATGTATGGTCTCCTGCTCAATATGCTCTGAGATGTGCTGCAGAAAGAGTTCCGTATTGTTGTGCAGCCGCTCCCATAGCTGCGTCCACAGCAGATCCAGTTCGCCGACGGTTATCAGACAATTGACAATGGCGCCGAGGCAGTATTCGGGCGCACGTGCAGAATTGGCTATGTACTCCTTGAAAAGCATAATAATGCGCTCCTTGGCCTGGGCACGCTTTCGTGGACGCTCTGCAGAGGCTACATAGCCATCCAAGGCCAGTTGACAGGCCTCCTGCCAGCGATGATTCTTTACCTACAAGCACAGAAGGATTAGTACATTTCATATACAATCGACAATTTCGATTTACCAAATAGCTAATGCGTTCCGACCAGGTGCGGACGCCAATGATGTGCAGAGAGCGCGCGCCGAGCACATAGAGTTGCGTGCCCCGAGAGACCACCGAGTTGTAGCAGGCATTGGTACCCGCCAAGGCAAAGGCGGGAGAGACATTGCCGCCTGTGGCAAGGCCCTTGAATTGCGCCGAGCCGTAGACCAGGCCTGCATTGGCCATATCCATGCACTCCAACTCCCGACTGGAGCGCACATCCACCAAATGTAATATCTCCGACGTGTCCACTGATGCCACACACTTCGGGCCCAGCCAGTGGGCGGAAAGCAGGCTGCTGTGCAGCTGGACATGGCGCAGATACAGCAAAGTGATGCGTCCATTGGCCACAAACAGCTGGTGAAAGAAGAGCTGATTGCCGCGGCCGACGACAATGACTGGATCGACGGAGCGACTCGTGTCCGCCGCCTGTATAAGCACCAGATGCCACGCCAGCAGCGGTAGGCAGTCGGCCGGTCCTTGCAGCGCATGGTACTTGATGACACGTAAACGTGGACGCACCGTGACTATAAAATATTTAGAGAGCGTTGCCAGAGCCACAATGGAGTACTGATCCAGTTCGTGCCGCCCTTGGGCGTCCATTATAAGCGGCTCTACGGCGCAGACCTCACCACGAGCGCCCGAAAACAAACAGCGCGAACTGCATCCCCTGATGCCCAGCTTGCGTGTAAAGCTCAGCGACCACACAGAGCCGCCGGCATCCGCGCAGAGCGCCAGCGAGGAACGTGATGTCCACTTGACATGCAGCACTCCTGTGTTGGGTGTTATCACATCAAATAGCTCGCGCAGCACATCACCAGTCTGGGTGTCCAGCATGGTAACCAAGCCGCGTGCATAGCCCACCAGCAGGCGTGTGGAATCGCCGTTGAAGGCCAGGCTAGATACGGCCCCCTGGCTGTGCTTGTCCTGATGAGCCCATCGGAGCGTTTGTGTAACATCAAAGTTGAGTATGTGGCCGTGGGAGGTGCCTACAGCAATGTACGCCGCCACGGCGCAGGAACTGGCCGCTCCAGCGTTGACGCGCTCGGCGGCCGAGGCTAGTTGGGCCGAGATGCCATGTAGAAGCGTGTAGCGCATTATGGAACCGGAACCGCTGCCGCCACGCCCATCGGCGCGCACACCGCAATCCTCGCCAATTGAGGGTGTCGGCGTTGCCCGCGGCACCGGCATCCCAAGCTCAGAGGCCACGTCGGAGTCCGCCTCGAATTCGCTGAGCACCGTTTCGAGCGTGGGCAAAACATCGGTGGGCGGTATGGCAAATTCCACATCATCCAGCTAAGCGTTTTCATGGGTTATCAATCGAAATCAATCAATCAATTTTGCACGTCCATTGTTTTCATTTTAATACTTACGCCTTCGAACTCAAAATCAAGTTGCAAACTGTCCGTGGAGCCGCGATCTGATTCCAGCAGCGATTGCAATGAAGGTGCCTTCAACTCTGCCATGCTGCACAATGATGTGCTTGCTTTCTACTTTAATTTTGTTCTTATTATTATACTAATCTATTAATTTGCTCTCAATTTTTATCAATGAACGTCTGTACGCCCACCATTTTATCGATACTTCTCAGTGCAGCGATTTTTTTTTTATGGGTAATAAAAATATCGCTAAGAACCGGCAGATGTGTGTGTAATATATCGATATGTACTCAAGCAATTGCAGCTCTGACCGCAATAGTTCGCAATCAGCTGTGAACTAGTTCAGCGTCGTAGTTTTTTTTGTTCGTTTCGTTTCTCTCTTTCATCAGTTTCATTTTATCCTTTATTGTGGCCAGTCGCATTGGCAACCGCGCACGGAACTTTTGTGATTGAACATTAAAATTAATTAAATGTACAACTTACAATAGAAATGTGCGTAAAACAACAATAATAATTGTCGCCCGCGGGCAGCAATAAAGTGTACAATGCGGGAAGTGCCCACCGGAATATGAAGCAACAACGCGCGTTGCGGGCGGCCGTGGAAGTAACGATTTTTGCATGAGTCGCGCTTGGCCAAAAAAAGTAAGAAAAACAAAGAGGCTGCCAAATTAAAATGCAGCGCCCATAACTAAGCCGTTTTGTAATTATAAGTGCTAACGCGAGTATAAATAAATTTGTTTATTTCGATGCCCGTGTGCGACTGTTTGTAATTCGGTTTTCGCTTTGTTGCTGTTGTTTGTTTGGGTTTTTGCGCTACTCTCTCCAACGTAAGCGCGTCATTCAATTCATGTTAGTGTGTTGGTGCAGTGACGTAAACAAATGCAAATGAAAAAGCATTTGTGTGCGAATATTTCAAAAATGCCAACAACAAAACAGCCGCATGCCGATGCCGATGCCGTTTCACGTGCCAAATATACATTGTAGCAACAACAAAACGATAACTTTTTCGCCTCGTGTGTTTTGTGCATCTCATTCGCTGCAAGGCCAGCTGAGCGCAACACGTTTGTGTTGTTTCTGCTGCATGCGTAGGCGGGCAGAGCAGTAACAGCAGCGCAGCAGAATGTGCGAATGTGTGCGTGCATTAATTGAAACATAGATGCGACAGGTAAGCCGCAGAGCGCAACTCAAGTTATTTCCGTTCTCTTTAGCACGCACATACAAACATAACAGTAACTTGTATGCCCGTGTTTGTGTGTGTGCATGTGTGATATTGGCTTTGTTGCGCCGCCTGGCGTCAAAATTTACATAGTTAATTTCTTATAACTAGCGAGCGCAAGAGACTTCCCCATAAACACAAACTTATCAATTAGTGAGAGCGGCGCCTTTGCAGGTAATTTTCCAGCCACACTCACACATACGCACACAAAAGCAGACTCGCGCTGTTGCAGTGCCGTTTTACGTTTGTCAAGATAAGACAACAACAACAATAACATCAAAGCAAAGCACGTTAATGACATTTCTGGAGCAGTTTCACATACACACACACACACACACACTATCTTACACTCACACATCTGTCCCCTGTAACCCCTTTAGTCAACATCTTTAACATGTCGTATGCGCTAGTTTTTCCACATTCCTGTACACTATTTAAATGTTGCATGGCTTGAATTGTTTTTTTCGTTTGCAACATACCTTTAATGATGATAGAAATGATAATTTTTTGTCTGAGTATTGCGATTATTAAGCGGGGGAATCACAATTACTGAAAATAAAAGTTGTCAGCAAGATTGTAGAATTTTTTTACATATCAAATGAAAACCCCCCGAACACAAATATATATATATATAAATAATAAATTTTTTTTTAAATACATATATAGAGCTTTTGTAGTAGATTAAAATTTTGCAAGCGTCGACGAAAAATATTTCCTTGACGTCAATTAAATGCAACTATATTAATTTTATAACCCTTTGTTTTTCTCGGTGTAATTGATAATGATTCAAAAAGGGTATTTAAAATTCGTTACGAATTAGTTTTTGGCCTTGTTGATTATTGTGATTTCGCTTTGTGCTCCTTTAGCTGCATTTTTGCTTTTCATCTGTCTTTCATGGTCACTAAATTTATTGGTCAACATTTTATCTTTTGGTGTTCAGCACCCACGCGGCGTCGTCCACGGCGAAGCTGGCGACGTCCACTGCGACGGCGACGGCGACGGCAACTCCTTCAACTTGTTTGGGTTTGCGGCGGTCGTGCGTTCAACGCCCACATGGAAATTTAACGCCTCAACGCGCTGGCGACCGGTTCAGATTCTAGATTCTTGATGCCGATTCCAATTTTTCCCGAACGTGGTCAACAGCCACATAAATATTAGAGAAGGGACCAGGCCATAAAATGAAAATCAACAACAACAACAACAATAGGAACAACAGAAAATATATTTTCCGACATGAATTATGAGCATATTCCCGTTCGTTTTTAGTATCAAAAATTTGTTGCTACACCGCGTTTTGGTTGTGGAAAATATCTTAATTTCAATAAACTTGGCTGCGTCCCCATTCTTCATATACCACATACATATATAGAATATTCCCATAAGTTTGTTTTGTTTATCTTTTCATGATTTGTTTATCTTGAGAGTGGCGGGGCGCGGCGGGGCGGGCGGGGTCTCTCATATGTGTTTTTGATTCGGCGATTGCAGTCGAACAAATTTGCAATTGTGGGTTTTGTGTCTGGTGGTGGTTATAATTCAGGCCTTAACCCTTTGTTGGCCACATGATAAACGACGGCTTGTTAATAAATCAAAGGCAATCGAGCATTGTGTGTGTCCTCTGTATATTTCCTGTGTGCCCTGTTCCTGCTCCTGCAACTGCCACTGCCACGGCCCTTGGGCACGGGGCACGAGCGCAAAGAGTACTCGTTACAATGTCAGAAAGTTTTTGTTTTGCAACTTCTACATGCCGCTTGGTCCTTGGAGCATGCAACATGATTGGCTACTGCACTCAGCACAGGATACTCGTATTTCATACGCCTTGTAGATTTATGAAGTGCCCAGGCGAGCCGCTCTTGACTACGTGGGCGTCTATATGTATGGGCTGCAAGCTTCTGCTTGGGGTTAGCATACATACATCCTGTGCATCCTGTGCCACAGGCTGCCATTGGCATTCTAATGATTTTTTATTGTTGTCGCTTAAGTGGCCCATTGTACAGCTGGCAACATATTGTCCCGACATCTTGCCCACTTGATAACCGACCCCAACCCTCCCCCTGAAAACCTAGTTTGTTGAGGCGCCACAGCTGCTGTTGGCATCCAACTTGTCCAAATTGCATAACATTCCTTGTCTCTTCCCGCTATGCGACCGATATGATAACATTTCTAATCAAACACGCTGATTAGAGCAGTTAAAATATATACAGCCCCTTTTAATGTTCTAATTGATTATACAACTTTTTCTTCCAAGAAATGTTGCTACATTTTGCACACGGTTAAAATAATCTTTAATAGCTTTCTGATAAGTTAGATCGATGCATATCGAAAATATATCTTTACTTTTGAGAAACACATTTTTCCAAAACTCAAACACTTCCAAAGCGAAATGTTTCATTTTTCGTTTAACTTGGCACTCTAGATATGTTTAGCATTTAGATTGAAAACCCAAAAATTCATTAAAATGATAATAATTTAAAATTGCCATAAATTTGTCAAAACTCAATCAATTTTAATGTGTTATGCATTATTGTTCGTGGCTTGAACTCTGAAACTCTTGATATCAAAATTCATATTAAAATGATACTGAAATGAATAATAATAATTGTATTAAATCCCATAGGCAGCAAATAATATTCCCCAGTGACGAAACTGGACCGATTTTGATAGGAATTGACTTTTTGTTTGTTTTTCGGTTTCTAAATGAATTCTCCATTTAAATGTAGAAATAAAATTTGCGGTAGAATTATATGAAGTTTTATTTGTATATATGAATACATTTTTGTCAGAGCTAAAATCTGAGATGTTTTTTATAAGACGGACACAAGAGTTTGTTAAAAATTTTATTTAAATTGTATATCAGAGTTTGTTTTCTTGGAGTCTTAAGTTTAGATAAAGTTATATAATTGTAAGTCTTCTGATTAATTTCGGTTTAGTTAAAGTATAATTTTATTGCACAGGGCCTATTAAAAATGTATTTTCTTTATAGCTGCTTTAATGAAGCTCTTAAGAACAGGTTTTAAATATAATCTTAATGCTTCTTCAACTTTTGACAAGCACGATTGCTCAATCTCAGTCTAATTGCACCTGCAGTTTTTCCGTAATTAAATTATCGTCAATTAATTCTGCAACTGGGAATATCATTAAATGCGGCTCTCAAGATTTAAGGTTCTGTTCATTTGAAAAGCTGCAGTTTTTGCAGTTTCCAGCTGTCTGCCTACTATTCGAAAGTAAATTATCAACTGGAAATTGTTTGCGATCTTTGGACTTCACATAATGATCTTTAATAATGCTACCTATCGCTTGAATACCTTTGTTTCCTTTGTCTGTTATGGCTGCTGCTCTTAGCCTGCCTCTTGCCTGCTTGCCGGGCCTATAAGAAATCGTCTTTGCTGCGGCTTATGTTGCACGGTAGCTGAGATTGCCTGCTGCTGCGGCTGCCTATGCCACCACAGCATATACATCAGGCTGGTAGAAAATGCATTCGGCTTAGTCACTATTTGCCCCCCAGACAATTAAGCTGCAGCAGAAGCAGAGCAGAGGGGCTATGGAGAGTCGGATGGGGGGATTTGGCTTAAACTGGTTCGCCGTCGTCTTTTTAATGCGAGCACAAATGATTCGCTGCCTGAAGTAGCTGAGCGTTGTTTGAGTTTCTGCCTGCACTGTTTATTATGATCTGCTGGCAAGAGAAAAGCAAAATGCCAAATAAGCCGCATGAAAAGCAGCGCCAGGACATGAACCCGCCCCACAGGCAGCAGGGCGGCAGGGGAGTTGATGTTGTTGGTGAGGTCAGGCGTGCTTGGGGTTGACTGAGCGCCACTGTAGTCTAACTCAAAACGCGCTAAAGCAAAGCGATTAACTGGATTTAGCTCCGCTCGCGGGCTTAACGCTCAAAGAACTCATCCCCGGCCAGCCCTGTGTCCTCTATACAAAGTTTTTTCATTTTGCACCGAGCTTAAGCATAGCTCATAAAAGAAGCAGTCCCTATGTACCCTATGTATCCAATGAGTTGCCTTCTATGCATGTGGGTGGGCTTTGCACCTTCATCGATTCAAATCGCGTTAAACCTGCTGTTTTTGACCAGCTAATTAGCAGAACCACCAATTTTCTGCTCGTGCCGCCTTTGGCAGCGGGATGCGGTGCTGTTCGGTGCTAATGACAGCGCTAATAATTGCTTTGTTGTGGCCGTCCTGCTGTTGTCCCAGCTGCGATGGGCTGGTCTCATTTCTGATGGCGGCTGCCAGAGCTGTCAAGTGAGAAGCGCCCAACAAAGATAGAGTGGGGTTTGAAAAAATGCGTTGGAAACTAATTAGTTTCAAATATATGCTCCAAAATATATGAAATAAGTAACAGTGCTCTTGTCGGGAGTACACGGTTAGGGAATACCCTGCAACTTCTCTAAAATAATAGTAACTTATTCTGTATTCTATACTATTCTAGAAGCTACTTCTGAAATTTTGCGACTCTAGCTCTTGAAACGTACGAAAAAAAATGTTTTTTGTATCGATTTGTATCGATTTTTCTTGGAAAGTAATCAATGATCGGAAACAGACTCTACTACTGCGCGGGCACTAGGAGGATCTACGTTCCTAATTTAAGTCCATAGCTCTGGCAGATGGCTTGTTCGACTCAGCTTGTCGTCCTGATCAAGAAAATATATACTTTATGGGGTCGGAAGTGCTTTCTACTGCCTGTTACAAACATTTGAAAAAACCATTAAACCCTTTTTACCCATCTTCAATGTATTCAGGGTATAAAAAGTACTATACTATATAATGTTAGACATTTTTTTTTTATTAACTTTTTTTGTTTAGAAGTTTTTTACCAATTATTGACAATTTACAGAGTTGAGAAATAATCGTTTAAAAATATTGCAAAACAAAATTCGATTTAAGTAGCTTAAAACATTGCATAGTTTTGCAAATTTTATGCCGTTGATTTCATGAAATTCCACAAAG